CTTGGCGAAAAAAACACGCACGAAACCGAAACAAAAACACAGGGAATAGGCGTCCGAGCGATGGCCAGCTGGCGCCGCGAGAGAGTCGCCTCCGGATGTCTTCTCGCGTCTTCTCGCGGCGCCGGCCTCGAGGGGCCCATTCTTCTGGCGGGCGGCAGCGGGGGGGGGGAAGGTCAGCGGGGGGGAGAACAGCGCACCTTTCTCCAGCACTTGTTGGACGCAGGGTGGCAGCTCAGGGCCCCATTCAGGGCCACCTGCCCGAGTCCCTCGATCGGCCCAAGTCTATTGCCCCCTCCTCTGTCGGCGTCACCCCCATACACTAATACTATGTGTACGTCACCCCCCAGGGGCGACGCGCGCACCGAGAAATCTCATAGCACATGCGTCGTGGCGGGCGCTTTCTGGCCAAACCGCTCGGGAAGCGATAAACTACAAGATGGGTATACTATATTTTCGGGTCGGACGCACGCCTCCAAGGAGGACATATAGTACTAGTATGTCTCTGTGCGCCCGACTCAAGCATCCAACTGCATATACAATATGTTCCAAGGTCCGTGCGGACCTTCGAAAGTTTATGTGTATGTCGTCGTTTGCTGTTCTATATCTAGCCCCTGGACCGAATGACACACCACGAACCATATATTTCCAGGGTAGGGCTCCTACCTGCCGCCAGTTTCGAAAGTTCCTGGTGATCCAGCGGATGTCGCCACTTTTGTGCGCTCTCGGGAGGTCCAGCAGATGGCCCCAGCGATTGTGTCCGCATGGCGTCCCGCGCCAATTTCGGTACTGCTCATGCAGTTTTCATCCGGATCGCGGCGCGATGCGGCAGGGTCCCGTCAAGGCGTCCGCACAGCGGACGCCTCGCCGGCATACCCGCCGAATTGCCAGGGTTTCAATTGGGCAACTGATGCTTTTTACGGGCGCCCTTGGCATCCGGGGAGTCTAGCGTATTGTCTCCCTCCGTTTCATCTTACTTCTCTCCCGCTTCTTTGTTTCTCCTCCAAGATTATACTCCCCTCTTTACTCTCCATCTTCTGCTTCTGGTTCTTCCCTCATTCCCTCTCCCCACGTTGCAATCCTCCATCGTTTCCGCATTATTACCTCATTCAGCCAATGAGTCGTGCAACTCGCGAGCCTCCCACTTAGCTCTCACAGCAATTCTGGCCCGCTTGTATGGCCACTCGCTGTAGATGGGTTGGGTACATCGCCAGGGTAACTCGGATCAACGGCTTCCAGAACCCGCACAGTCGTGTCTTCTAGGCTCGGTCCGACGAAACAAGTCAAGACCGTCTTGGGGCCCTTCTTGAGGCTTCAGGCTTGAGAGTAGGTTTTGCCGCGCGGCACTTCAGGCTGAGCCTGTATTGGAGTAATTAGTGGTGCGTCCTCTTTGAGCCACCTGGGGGGCCTCTCGGGCCATCCTGGGGCCACACTGGCCCTCTCGTGCCCCAGAGGGTGCCGGCGGACATCCTCTCGCAGATAGCAACGTGTTATTACAACATGAGGGATTTCGACTCGTCTCAGGCGGCCTTCGATGAGCTGAGGAAGCAGGACCCCTACAGGCTTGCCTCCCTGGACACTTATTCGAACATACTGTACGTCAAGGAGGAGCCCGCAGCCCTCAGTCACCTAGCGAGGCAGGCAGTGAAGATCGACAAGTACACCCCCGAGGCGTGCTGCATCATGGGCAACTACTACAGCCTGAAGTGTGAGCACGAGAGGTCCGTGACCTACTTCCAGCGCGCCCTCTGCCTAAACCGCGATTTCACGCCAGCCTGGAGATTCCTCCTCGTGATCCTCCCTCCTCTCTTTTCACCTCCATTATCCTCATCGTCTCTCTCCTTTTCATCGGCCTCCCAGTCCTCCATCTTCTCATTTCCAGCTTCCTCCCACTCGTCCCCCCCTCGTCCCCCCCACCCTCCTCGTCTGTCCGTCCTCCTCCTCCATCCTCATTAAGCTTCTCGTCCTCCCCCTTCTCATCGGCCTCCTCGTTCTGGTCTCGATCTTCTCCTCCCCAGGATCCTCATGGGCCACGAGTTCATGGAGATGAAGAACACGCCCGCGGCAATCGACGCGTATAGGACGGCGGTGAGCATCAATCAGCGCGATTACCGGGCGTGGTACGGCCTGGGCCAGACGTACGAGTTGTTGAACCTCCATTTCTACGCGCTGTATTACTACAGGCGGGCGATGGCGCTGCGTCCGGAGGACGCGCGCATGTGGTGCGCCATGGCCCAGTGCTACGAGGTGGGGGATGAGCATGATAAGGAGAGGGACAGGATGAGCCCGAAGACGAGGGGAGACAAAAGAGGAGGCGGCGGAGGACAAGACAAGGAAGCTGAGGACCACAAGGAGGAGATTAGTCAGGACGAGGGGGGCGATGACGACGAAGTGGAGTGGAAGAGGGGTGGAGTGAGGTAGGATAGGCAACGGGAGGTGAAGCGAGAGGAAGAGGAAGAGGACGTACATCGAGGAGGGAGAGGGGGAGGAGGAAGAGGGGGGAGGAAGTGGAGGACGGGGAGGAAAGGGAGGAAGAGGAGGAGGAGGAGGAGGAGGAGGAGGAGGAGGAGAAGGAGGAGGAGGAGGAGGGGGGAAAGGAGTTGGATGAGGTTTGTAATGAGGAGGACGAGTGGGAGGACGAACGCGATATCCTGGCTCGCAGGAGCGAGTGCCCTTTCGACGAGCGTCCCTATCGCACTCGAGAATGCAGAAGCGCGGAGGAGGGGCAGGGCGGGAGCAGGGAGGAGGGAGGCGGACGGGGCGAGAGAAGAGAAGGCAGGAGGCCCCACGGCGGAGGCCATGGACAAGAAGGCGGAGGCCCTCAAGTGCTACGAGAAGGCCAGCCGTTGCGACGGCCACCGCCGCCGCCTCCCCGTCCCTCAGCCTCTCCCTCGCTCTGATCTTCTCCCCCCTCATCCCCTTCGCCTGCACTAGGCATGATCACATCGAGCTTCGAAGTCGGAGGACCGATTGGGAGTTGCGTTTGTGTCTGTGCCTCAAGGGGCAACCTGGGTGCCTCGAGGGACGTGTGGGGAGAATTTCTAAAACAAATTGGCAACATCGCCCTAAGCCCTCGTCGTCGCCGTCGGCGTCGGCTTCGGCGCCGTCGTCATCCGTCGTCCAGCGTTCGGCGCCCATCGTCCGTCGTGCGTCGCGCGTCGTCGTCGTCGCCACCGCCGCCGTCACCCAAGAGGAGCCTCGGACCTTTCCTTGGGCGCGTTCTCGCCAGGATGCCGAGGCGGACCCAATCGTGGCAGGGAGAGGCCCTCCGCAAAAAAAAAGTATCCCCCCCCTTCCTCCCACGGGAGGAGGAGGAGGAGGAGGAGGAGGGAGAAGGGAGAAGGGAGAAGGGAGGAGGAGGAGGAGGAGGAGGAGGAGGAGGATCAGGCACTTCTTCTTCTTCGTCTTCGCTCGGTGGAGCGCCCGGGGGGCAAGTGAGAGGGAGCCGGGCCTCCTCAGAAAGCTGCGGAGCCTGGTGCAGAACCCCCCTGGCCGTCCGAGAAGCCGCTGTTGTCTTCGGAGAAGGACTGAAACGAGTTCTCCTCCTCCTCCTCCCCCTCCTCCTCCTCCTCCTCCTCCTCTCCTCCTCCTCCTCCTCCTCCCTCCTCCTCCTCCTCCTCCTCCTCCTCCTCCTCCTCCTCCTCCTCCTCCCCCCCAGGAGGCCAGAGGTCTGACGGAAATCCGTTCCACAGCGCTCCGGAACGCTCTCCGAGCGGCCCGGAACGCTCTGAAACCGCCTCGGCGCCCGAGACATCCTCCAGACCCGCCGATTCTCGGAGACCTCCGACGCATCTCGGTCCGATCTTGTCTCCGTTCTGCCTTCGTCCTGGGAGGCATTCCGAGCCTTCTGAAAAGGCCCGCCCCCTCTGCATTCCCCCCTTGACCTCGTCGCCGATCCTCGTCGTCCTCGTCGTCGCTCTCGCCGCCGTCGCGCCCAGGCGGCGCACGGGTGGAGGCGGCGGCCCCGACGGCCACGGCCCAGGGCCGCGGCCACTGCGGCCGCGGCCGCGGCGGCGACAGCGCAGCCGCTGAGGCGACGGCGGCGACGGCGGCGGCGGCGGCGGCGGCAGCGACGACGGCGCCGACGGCCACGGCCGAGGGCCCGCCACTGCGGCCGCGGCGGCAGCGACGGCGGCGGCAGCGACGGCGACGACGACGATGACGACGACGACCATGACGACGACGACGACGACGACGACGACGACCACAGCGGCGGCGGCGGCGGCGGCGGCGGCGGCGGCGATCGGGCGGAGGGATAAATCGCTCCTGAGCGTTCCAGAACGCTCTGAGAAGGTCGCGGCGCTCGATGCATCTTCCAGGGCCGCCGGAAGTCAGAGATCCCCGACATGTCACGGTTAGATTTTGTCCTGGTTTTGGTTCCGTCTTTGCCGAGGGCCCGCTATTGCGGCCGCGGCGGCGCCCGCGGCGCCGGCGCCAGCACTGTCGTCGCTGTCTCGTCGTCGTCGTCGTCGTCGTCGTCGTCGTCGTCGTCGCCTCCGCCGCCGCCGCCGCCGTGGTCGTCGTCGTCGTCGTCGTCGTCGTCGTCGTCGTCGCTGTCGTCCTCGTCGTCGTCGTCGTCGCCGCCCCCGTCGTCGCCGCCGCCGCCGCCGAGGTCGTGGTCGTGGTCGTCGTCGTCGTCGTCGGCGGCGGCGGTCGGCGGCGGCGGCGGCGAAGGCCCACCGCTGCGGGGACCGCGAGCGCGTGGCGCTGCCGCGGCTGGCGCGGCTGCACGCGGAGCGGGGCGACCGGGCGCGGGCCGCGGCCTGCCACGAGCAGGTCGCGGCGCAGCACTCAGCGCCGAGCGCAGGGCTCCTGTCCTCTGGAGGCCACACGTCCCCTACTCCCTCCTCCTCCTCCGCCTCCTCCTCCTTCTCCTCCATGTCCTCCTCCTCCTCCTCCTCCTCCTTGTCCTCCTCGAGGCGCCTCCTCCCCCTCCTCCTCGAGGCCTCCTCCTCCCCCTCCTCCTCCTTCTCCTCCTCCTTGTTCTCCTTGTCCTCCTTGAGGCGTGCTCCCCCTCCTGCTCCTCCTGCTCCTCCTCCTCCTCCTCCTCCTCCTGCTCCTTCTTATCCCCATCGCGCCCGCTGATTGCAGTCGTCTGCAGCTTCTCGGCCCGATAGCTGCCCCGCTCGCCCCCCACTCCCCTCCCCGCGCGCGCGCGGCCGGGGCGCCAGGGGCCCGCGGGGCCATCGCCGTTCAGGTTTCCTCGACACCTACGCGGCGATCGTCGGCTCCGGGTTCGCCACCCCGCGCTGGCCCAAGTCGGTCGGGCCGGCGCCTGTGGCCCGTACGACGAGAGCGAGCGTCGGGGCCGACCGTCCGTTCTGAGCGGTGGTCGGTCGGGCAGGCGCGCCTTTCGGCACCCTGCCTGCCGTGGCCACTGGGCCTTGCTAGCACCGTCGCTGCTCGCTCTTCGGCGGGCGGTGCGGACAGGGCCCATGCCACGTCCTGCCGTTGGCAGGTCTCTCCAGCCTGCACCAGTCTGGTGGTCTTCGGCGCTCTCCACGCCGACTTCGGCGCAAAACTCCTCTCCCTCCTCCTTCGCCTTCTCCCCCTTGGCCTTTGGGGCGGCGGAGCAGGAGGCCCATCTGAGGAGAGGAGTAGGAGGGGGGCCTCACACGCCGCAGCGCCACGCCTTGCGCCGTGGCGCAGCGCCAGCCCTCGTCTCGGGCGTTCAAAGTGCCGCCGCGCCTGGGGTCTCAGCCGCCGCTTCTACGCAAGACTTTCAGCCGCCGCGACAGAGACGCCCGACGGAGGGCACAGTGGCCAAAGGCGCTCCGACGCGCCGCCCAAGGGCTTCAGCCGCCGCGCAAGCCATGCCCGCCATTCCTGCTGCCAGCGAACCCAATGCCAGCGTGTTCAACGCCGAAGCACCAGAGGGGTGCCCTGCGAAGATAACTGCGCTCTTGGGAAGGGAAGTGGTGGACGAGGATCTCTCTTACCTCCCCCCAACTCCTTCTCCTTGCCTCTACTCCGCCACCTGGCTCACCTGTGCCGCTAGGCATGGCGACCACTTTGTGGGCCCCGCCTGCTCCACCGTGGGCGGGGGAGCGTCACTCGCGGGGCACACGGGCTTTGCCGCCGCCTCGGTTTCCTGGCCTTCGGCTGGAGGCATCGCCGCGGCCACTTCTGCCGACGATGCTGCTCGGACCGCCGGGGGCGGATACATTCGCGCACCTCCAGGCTTGGACCCGCTGCCTCCTGGGCCTCCGGTCAGGCAGATTGGGCCGCCTCCGGGCCTTGACGTCTTGGAGGTTGGTTCCCAGAGGCTCAGTGCGGCATGCCCGCGCCGTGGCGCGGCTGCGGCTTGGAGCCCCACGGTCGTCTATCAGGTCCGACCTGGGGCCACGGCGTCAGAGGCCGCGCTTCCTCTACTGAGGACGCCGCCTCCGCCGCCACAGGGTCGCCCCTGGAGCGGTGCGTTGGCCCTGGTGGAGGCGGGGTGCTCCGTCGTCCCTCCTCGGGGTTCTTCGGCGGCCATGTCCGACTGCGGCCTTGACGGGGGTAGTCCCTCCTTTTCGAGGGCGGCGCCGCGGTGTGGCTCGAAAGGGGTTGGTATGCGCCCTGCCAGCGATGCTGATACGGCCCCGCAGGGAGGGGCTCGTACCGCCCCCCCAGCCGCCACCGCAGTCCACCAGCCTGGCACCCCGCCGCGGAGCGGCCCCAGGGCCACCTCGGCCTTACGCGCCGACCTCCACTTGTGGGACCTGCACACGGGCTCCGACACTCAGGGTGTGGATCCGCCGCCAGGCCTCTCCGGCTCCGAAGCAGGCTCACGGGTGCCGCCTTTGGTCGACCTCCGCGCGGCCCTTGCCTCGGATGGGGTGCAGCTGTTTAGCAGCGGGAGTATGCCGTGCACTGCGGCGTCGCCACTTCTGTCCGAGCGCTTCACGGTCGCCGACGGTGACCGCGCGGCCAGCGGAACACCCCTGAGCGCGGACTGGCATCGTGTCTCCGGGGATTCGCCCTCCCAGGCCAGGCATCTGAGGCCACCGTCCGGAGTTGCCGTCCCAGAAGCGGATGTTCATGCGCCGCCGCCGCTCCACCGTAGCGCGGTTGGTCCCGCCTCACTTCGGGCGGGCGCTGCCCGTGGGCGCATGTGGTATGGTGAGCGCGCAGGGCTCCTGCCTTTCACTAACCTCGAGGGCGGTGTCGGCGCGCCAGCTGCCGGAGGGCCACCTCCCCAGTCAAGCGCCCGGGGCGCTTGCACTTGTAACGCAGCGGGCACTCAAGCAGCGGAGTCAACTCCAGGCCTCGTCGGCTCCGCCGCGGGCTCCTCGGGTGAAGGCGTCGCCGCAGCCGCAGCCATTCCAGCGCGGCCCCGACGCCTCTCGTGCGATCGGATCCAGGGCCTCGCCGCGTCGATCCCTGCTCGCGCTCGCGAGCGCCTGCTGGCCGACCCTCGTGGTCTGAGCTCTTCTCCGTCACCACTGGTAGGCATGCGCCCTTCCAGCGATGCTGTTACGGCCCCGCAGGGAGGGGTTCGTGCCGCCGGTGGGAAGTCAGGAGCGGGCTCGTCCACGGCGGCCGCGACGCCCCGGGATGCGGTCCCTGCGTTCTGCTCTGTCCGAGGGGCCGCTTTCGCCACGGGCTCCTCGGGCGAATGCGCCGCCGCAGCCGTTGCCACTCCAGCGCGGCCCCGACGCCTCTCGTGCGATCGGATCCAGGGCCTCGCCGCGTCGATCCCTGCTCGCGCTCGCGAGCGCCTGCGGGCCGACCCTCGTGGTCTGAGCCCTTCTCCGTCCCCACTGGTCGGCATGCGCCCCTCCAGCGATGCTGTTACGGCCCCGCAGGGAGGGGTTCGTGCCGCCGGTGGGACGTCAGGAGCGGGCTCGTCCGCGGCGGCCGCGACTCCCCGGGATGCGGTCCCTGCGTTCCGCTCTGTCCGAGGGGCCGCTTTCGCCGCGGGCTCCTCGGATGAAGGCGTCGCCGCAGTCACTGCCACTCCAGCGCGGCCCCGACGCCGCTCGGCCTCCACCAACAGCGCTGCCGCACTCCCCGCCTTCAGGCTCCGACGAGTTCGTCGGGTCCGCACTCGGCGTGGAGGACGGCGGGGTCGTCGGGCCGTCGATGGTAGCTGCCGTGCCGCTCACGCTCCAGCCCATGCTGGTGCAGCTGCCTCGTCTTCGGACGCCCTTTCTGGTGCTTCAGAGGCCGCTTCTGGGGCCCCTGTCCAAGGGAACCGCCGCTCGCGCTTCAATCGGAGCGTGCGCGAGGATGCGGCAGCAATGTTGCGCTTCGGAAGTGCACCGCCCGTTGTCGTGCCTCCTGCGGCTGGAGCCCCGCCACGGTTTTCAGCTTCAGCCGAAGCTGCGGGGGCCCCGTCGGTAGGCATGTGCTCTGCCGGCGATGCTGGTGCGGCCCCGCAGGAAGGGGCTCGTGCCGCCGACGGGGTCACCGCGGAGGGGGGTGCACGCGCCGCCCAGGCCAGCGGCTACCAAGGCGGAGCCCCCGACGAGCCTCCTCGGCTCCAAGCTGTCGGTGGCCCTGCCCTGGACCAAGAGGGCTCCGGGCAGCCCCGAGCCGGCCCCGCCGACCAAGGTGCCTCTTACCCCCAATCTGTTGGAGCCGCCCACGTCGGGCGGGTCGAACGGGGTGCTGGATGTGCTCGGCCGCCGCCGCCGGGGAGGTCTCATCCCGCGGCCGCCGCCCGCCGCTTCTGGACCGAGCGAGGTCGCGATGGTAGGGATGCGCAGGTGCAGCGCGGCTGTTTCGGCGCCGCTGGGCCCCGTGCGTGCCGCCATGGTGATTCTCGCTCGCTCCCAGGCGCTTCCCCCGCTCCTCCTGGCCATCCTGGTCCCAGCGTGGGCGTCGGGGCGCGCCCTGCGCCCTTCGCGCCTTGCCCTTTTCCCAGCACATCCCGTACCAGCACTGGCACTGGCAGGTCTGCGCCTTTCGTGGCCGATCTGTCCGCCTTGCTGCGCCTGTTTCCAGGCGCCAGCATCGACGTCACCCACTGGGCCGCTGCTCTTGCCCAGGTCGGGATGGGGACTCGATGCTCCCTTGCCGCTTTTACCCGCACATCTTTCTGCGCGCTGGAATGGGACGACTCGTACTTGTCGGGGTCGGCTCCCCGCGATCCTTGGCCGTGCCCTCCCTCGCCGCCTCTTCCGCCGCCACCTGGTCACCTTACGGGTCGCGCGCGGGAGCGCTGGCGTGTGAGGCGCGCCGCCCGCACGTTGTCGCAGCATGCTGTCGTTGCGCTCAACTGGCTCACCTTGGGTCATCCCAGCTTCGCTCCCGCCGAAGCTCGGGTGCGGGAAACGGTCACACCCTGCCAGGAGGGAGTTCGCAGTCGCCTCGAGCGTCTGTGTCGGATCGCAGTTCGCCTTGCCCGTGGTGGCAAGAGCGACCTTGGTCGGGCTTTCGCCAAGTTCGACTCCACCGAAGTCTCGCTCCATGGCCTGGCTACCCATGTTGCAGCTCTTGAGGCTTCGTTCACCTCTTCCTCACAAGTGCCCGCCCCCATGCGGCAACTCCCCGTCAGCGCGACGCCCCTGGCAAGCTCGTTGGCGGCCGCGGCAGGCTGGGACTCCACCCAGGCTGAGCCTTTCGACCTTCGGGTCCAGGCGTCCCGCATCAAGTGGGATTACTCTCCTACGTTTGATCCCACTCCGTACTTGTCCGACGATCTGGTACGTTCCGCCTTTCATGACCCCGACGTCATGCGGCTACCAGAGGACGAGTGGCCTTCGGGCTTTTCGGGTGCTCGTGTGCACATGGACCGCGAGCAGCTGTGGGAGCTCTTGCGCAAGTGGGACTCTTGTGGCGCCCTGTATCTGACCCCCTCCGACAACCTCGCCTGGGACGAGGCTTGTGGAGCGTTCA